GAACCCAGTAGTCTCTAGTGTGGCATGGGTGATGGATGGATGGTCTTCACTTGCACAAACCCTTAAGTGTGGGGTTTTTGCTTAGTGAATATAAGCTTCCATGGTGACAAAGAACTTTTTTAAAAGTCTCTGGATATTTTTATTTTTAACTCTGAGACGTTTTGAAATGAACACTAGGGGAGCACACACAGTCTTTTTCATTAAATCACTGAGGTGGTGGGTTTGTTATTTAACGGCCCTCTTCCAGAGCCCTGAAGTGGTACTGTAGAACACTCACTGCTCTTATTCTACACAAACATGATGGCACATAACAACAAACCTTTTCAAGGGGGGTGGGAGAAGAAGTTAACAATGCTGCAAAGCAGAACAGTTTTGAGTACAAAATAAGTTCACAGGATCCAGTTTTTACTGTTCATTTTGGGATCATGGATAAGAGCCAAACCCCACTATTGCTGAGTCCATTCCAACTCATAGGCATCCTGCAGCCCAGAGCAGAATTATCCCATAGGATTTCCAAGGCTTTCAACCTGTGCAGAAGCAGACTGCCACATCTGTCTCCTGTGGAGATGCTGGTGGATTCAAACCGCTGACCTTTGGTCAGCAGCTCATTGCATAACCACTGCACTACAAGGGCTCACCCACTATGGGGAAAAGTAGCCCCTTGAAATTAAAGTAAGATGTGTTTTTTATTTTACTTCACAGATGTTTTAGTATACTTTCTACTTAATACCCATTGGAAAAAAAAAAGGCTTAACTATAGGGTGGAGGGTCAGAAAAAAAGAGAAAGACCCCTAATGAGATGGATTGGCCAGGTGGCAGCATCAATGGACTCAAGCATGGCAACAGTAGTGAGGTTGGCCTAGGATCGGGCAGTGTTTCATTCTGGTGTGCGTAAGTTCGCTATGAGTCGGTACTGACTCGATGACACCTAACAACAACAACAATCAAAATTAAAAGTGTTTTATCCACTTATTAGTCCTGCATTAATGCGCTGCACAGCAAAGTCGGTTTGAACCACAGGATCAGCAATTCAAGCTCAGCAGCTGTTCTTCGGAAACCCGACTGGGTTGCTATGGGTCGGAGCCAACTCAATGGCCTTAACAACAATAACAATAATCCACTTATTTGGAGCCCTGGTGGTTCATTCAGCAGTTCAAACCTGCAGGAGAAAGAACGGGTGATCTATTTCCCTAAAGATGGTTGTTGAGCACTTTTAAGAGTTTCTGAGGAGAGACTAGTAGGTTTGAACCGCTGATCTACCAGTGTTTAGCAGTCCAAACCTTACCCTACGGCACCATGACCATTGACTTGGTTCTGATCCATAGCAACCCTGTATAGGGTTTCCGAGGAGTGGCTGGTGAACTTGAACTGCCAACCCTGCGGTTCAAACCAAGTCTGCATTCTAGCACATTAACCCACAGCATCACACCAGGACTTAGGAAACCTATAGAGCAGTCTGCTCTGTTCTGTAATGTCACTATAAGATGATTATGAGCCAGAATCATCCAAGGCTTTGAACTAGTTCATTCCTGTTTGACCCCCTGCTAAGAATTTTCATTTCTATCCAGATATGTTGAATCAGAAACTCATGAATTTGATGAATCTGATTTCATTATAACTGAGGTGGAAAGGCGAATTCTGAGCAGAGAGTCAAACAGGAATGAACCAGTTCCAAGTCCTGGAATAAACTCGACGGCATACAACAGCAACATCACTTAAAACAATCTCGAGAATCATCAGTGATTCAAGGATCACACTTGAGGAATGTTTCTGAGTTTGGAAATATGCAGAGGACCCCTGATCCAGCAGATGAGCCACGGCAGCAGGAGACAACTGCAGCAAATTAAGATCCTCATGAACAGCTGAGGAGTAGAGTGAGACACCATGTTAAGAGCCCAAAAGCCTGGGGTTCAGACCTAACACAACTGCTTCACTACCAAGCAACATTCATCAATTTAGTCACAAACTCCCCTCTCTCTCTCTCCATCATCTTCTCATCTGAAATAAGAAAATAAGATTGTCTTTATTTATAGAGTCATGTTGTTGTTAACTACTGTAGAGTCGGTTCCGACTCATAGTGACCCTGCACAGGGTTTGCGAGGATGTAAATCTTTATGGGAGCAGAAAGCCTCATCTTTCTCCCACAGAACAGCTGGTAGTTTTGAACTGCTGACCTTGAGCTTAGCAGCCCAATTCGTAACCACAACGCAGCAAGTGCCAAATGAGAGAATAAATGCTAACATGCTTTAAAAGCAACCAGTTGATTAGTCTCATGGACACTAGGTGGTTTTCAGAGTAGAACTGTACTCTATAGTTTTCAAGGCTGTGACTTTTTTTTTTATAAGTTTTATTGTGAATTATATGGTAGTTTTCATGGGAGAACACCAGCTTTACATTCATCCTATCGTATTTTGTTTCTTTGCAATGATTACAATCCCCTCCATGCATCATCAAACAACCAAGGGGTACACCCCGCAAGCCTGCCACCGCCCCACCCCACCCCCAGCCATCAGCACACAGCCCCTCTCCCTCCCTGAGTCCAGAGTCCCCAGCTACTCCATCTTTACATGTCATCTCTGCCTCCATTTCTGGCGTCTCTGCTTCTCTGGGTAGTGTCCCTTACTCCACTCTTCTCCCTTGATGGTCCCAGGGACCTCAGCTCCTAGACTACAAAATTAACCACTCCCCTCCTTTTGTTACAAAACATCTACCTTTACATTTCCAACCCCCACAGTCAGTCCTAGTAGCAACTATTCCCTATTGTACCGAAAGATTTTTATCCCCATCTCCTTTCATCAGCCTGTCACAACAGATTAGAAACGACTCAGTAGAGATTCCACCTTCCCCTGTACCCTCTGGAACTAGACTCCCTCTTGAAAGCTTGTAAGCTAGTCACTTCTTGCCTTTGTAGCCCCCCCATTTTGGGTAGCCAACGTCTAAGTTGCCCATCCCTGTCAATCCTGTGTACCAAATGGTTGGGAATGATCCTCGCTGTTAAAATTTGTTCCCTCTTTTGAGCTACTACATCCATCAAATTGTAGTAGATTACTCTCTTTTTTTTTTCCTCTTCTTTCTTCTTCTAGTAGAATTCTGATCATCCAGCCATCGAAGCCAGGTCAAGTGGATACTATCTGCAAGAATGGGTGTTCTTGTGCATCTCCCCTCACTTCATATCAGCTGGATGCTTCACTCTCCACTCTAGTCTTCTGTGGCCATGTCACTGCCTCTGGGCCCAGGAGTCCCTGGGTCTTGCCATACTGCTGGCCAACCAGGTCTCCACGTGGGTTCACAGGAGTCTGTTGAATGTGGTCGGACTTAGCTCACAAATTCATTGCTGTTTTTTTCCCACTCACCTTTATCGGTGACCAAAGTGGTCACCAGCCAGACCACATGCCTGCTCTTGTATTACTCTTAAGTCTTACTCTTGGAAGGGGGTTTGCTCTGAGGGGACCCGACCGCTTGCCTTGATGGCTCCTGGGTGAACAGCTTGCTTGTTCTTGTAGTAGTCAGTCAGACTGCCATTATTGTTTTTGATTTTTCCTGCCAATCTTTCTTTCACGAAATATCTTCTGTTCTACTTGTCCTTTCAAGTAGAAATTTCCCACCTCAGAAGACTGTGGATGGGGTTCAGGATTCCACCTATTGTCTTATGCAATGCAAAAGCTCCACAGGAAGCCTCTTTCGTTGGGTAAGTTCTAGCCCCCTTTTAGGTATTCCAATCAGTAATAGGCTGAAGATGGACTTAAAAGCTTTCTATTGTGCTGTTTCTGGCATTTCTTTCTCTCCCCCTCAAGTGTCTATTTTACAATGGTAGGCAAGGGAAACCAAGATTCAAAAGACAAGGCCTGTGACTTTTTGAAGGCATATCACCAGGCCTTCTGAGTTGTCTCTGGGTGAATGTGAACTGCCAGTCTTTCAGTTAGTAGTCAAGTACTTACTTACTCATTTGTACCAGCAGGGACTCCTAAAGTGCTTTTAAAAATGTAAATAGCTACAATTCTATAAATGTCAATGCCATGAAATTTTCTGCTGCTTCTCTCCTTCTCTTTCTTTGTATTGTAATGGATCAAGCATTTATCATAGTGGTTCAGAGCATGTGCTGTGTTATCCAACTCGAGTTTAAATATGGCGCCACCACTCACGAGCTGTTCAGTCTTGAGCAACATATTTATTCTTCTTTAAGCCTCAGTGTTCTTGTCCATAGAATGGTGATAATGATAATATTTGTTCAGAGGGTTACTTGGAAGGCTTGATGGATTTTCTGTCTGGGAGAGCAGGAGGGGACTTCAAAAAGTTCACAGAAAACTGGAATTTTCCACAAGCCTTTTGGAGCTCCCTCGTACAGTTGAGATTCATTGGGCAGACTGGAGCAGTCAAATCAGCAATCGTATTTTGATCATTGAGAGCAGATGGGATCACATTTCCAGAGAATCTTATCAGTGTCTGGAACTGTGAGCATGTGTGTGTGTAATTGAAGGTGGCAGTTCTTCCTCTGAGTGCTCAGAAACCCCAAGCATTCCACAAAGACTCAAGAAAGACTCCGCCTGCCATTTACCTTGCCCCTAGTGTGCCAGAAAACACGCTGGAAGGGGCCAAGGTGCAACTGATGTCAGTGGAAGGGACAGGTGTCAGCTGTGTCCTCACACCTGGCCAAGGTTCAGTGAGTTCCTCAGCCGTCCCTTCTCTTCATCAGTACAATTGAGGGGCATGAGTAAGGGGCACTAGAAGACAGTTCCTTTACACTGGCAACACACAGCTGCCAGAAAAACACAGAACAGAATACTCATCCCCCATGAAAATCAGCAGCTGCCCAGGTGCTCAGGGCCTGAAAGAAACCAAAGATGGGCCCAATGGAAATTGAGCCTGGACTGAATGATCTCTTAGAAAAACAATTGTTGAGTTGACTAACTGTGCTCTCCACCGCCTCCCCCCACCCCCTCCAGCCCCAGCCCCAATCTGGTCAGGAGTCTGATTACTCTTTCTCCTCCTTCTCCTTACAGAAAATGAAGGAGTACCTAGAGGGCAGGAACCTCATCACCAAGTTACAAGCCAAGCATGACCTGCTCCAGAAAACCCTGGGAGAAAGTGAGTATGGAAACTGTGCTGGAGGTTTGGCAGAGAGGGGAAGTCTGAGCCCTGAGCTTTACTTCTGAACACGCCTCCATCGTAAAGCCCAGTGGGCCCGGAGCTTGTTAAATGAATGCATTTCTTTTCCTAGCCTGTTTGATGTGGGAGCACACGCCCCAAATGACTGCTTGAGTAATGTGAAGAGGCCAGTGCTTAATGAAGCACTAATGTGCATCATCCATTTGTTTAAATGGAGCGTGCTGCGCAGACTCTTCATTCAACCCCCTCCTCCGCATCCTCTGCCCCTATTGGGGAGAAGGGACTGATGGGTTATATACTCTTCAGACACTGTGTTAAACCCCCACCCCAGCTCCTCTGTGGCAGGACTGAGGCTGGAGCCAGAAGGCAGGGAGCTGTGAGATGAGCTGCTGCTCTGTGGAGAAGAGAGGATTCTTGCAGGCAGGAGTGGGTGGGTGATGGACAGACTGCTGCTGTTCTGGAACTTCAGGTAGTGTACTGGTTCCCTTCTGCTTTGAAGGGTCCTGATGCTGGTGAAGTAGCAGTTCGTTCTGCTTGGGCCCTGCCCTGTGGAGGTCATGGTGCTGAATGGACTATCTGGTCCTGCCTGGTAGGATGAGTTTAAGCAGATCCTAGAAAGTAGCAAGGGAGAGAACTGAACTGGCACTCTGGACTTTGTCTCCTCCGCTGACAAACAGAAGAAGGTTAAAAGAGAAGTTCCCCTCCCCCCCTTTCCAGGTTCTTTGGCATTCCGCCAGGTCTCCTGCCTAGCTCTCAACATCCTATGATTAATGGGATTCCCAGGTTGGGGATTCCTCCTCCCCACCCTACTAATCTCCTGACTTAAAGATGGGAGGAAGGCAAAAGAGAATATGTAGTAACGTGAATAAAAGACAAACAAGTACTCACACAGAGGTCTAGGGTTGTCAATAAATTCACTGAGAGTGTTCTAGGGGAAAATGCAGCATACAGGAAAGTGTGTGGTACTCACTGGCTCATTAGCTCCGCTCTTCATACCAGAGCCTCCTACCAACCCTTCTCCTGACCTGGACAAGTCCCCCAGATGATTAATTCTTTTTCTTCTAATGTCTTTGATCTTGTGGTCTTTTTAAGGCGTTTTCTTTTATGTGGAGAAAACCTGTGAGCTAGCGCCTGTCTTCTTACCCACTACCCAAGGGACTAAGTCTGGCTGAACAGGTTTGGGCATTGAGGTCTGAAGTTTACTTACAGAAAATCTGTGCTGTTGGGGTTATCAGACTGCTCTGTAGGGAATTGGAGGAAAGCCCAGAATTTATTTGAAGCAAGTTATAACTGTGATTTCCTTTTGTCAGGAGAATCTAAGCATAATCCCTAAGTAGCCTGGGAGCAGAGCCTCCGGGTGTGTGTGTGAGTGTGTAGGCACACACATATACACATACCAAATGTGCTACCATGGAGGGGGCAGTACGTTGGTGGCCATTCATTAGTGCTGCAAATTGCTTTAATCTAAAGATGACAAGTTCCAGCAATAAGGGTGAAAAAAACCCACTGTACATCTTCCTGTTTGCAAGTCATCATGTCCCTGCCTTCTGTGTGTATCTGTCACCATAAAGCGAGAACCCCTTATTCTTTCCGCAGAGGGATAATTGATGTGTATGAATATTCCAGCATGGAAATGGGACAGATGTTGAAAATAATGGCTCAGAATAATATTTTTGCAGATGAAGGCTGTGCCTTTGGAAATAAGAAGATTCTAGAGCTGGTGTGGGGGGGCGGGGAAGAGGGGTGTTGTTCAAGATGAGCTGAGCTGTAATCAACAATTAGCAACCTTTAAAGGCAAAGACAAAGCCCTGCCCTCCCCAGTCACCCTGATTCCTGGGGCTGCCTTTGCAGGAGCTTAGATGAGCAGTCTGGGAGCTAATCAGCTCCTTCCTCTGCTTACCCTGCGTGGGCTTTCCCCTGGCATCTACTTTAGGTCTAATACAGATTAAGCTCTATTGACCACGGACCCATAAAAAGCAACATATTTTATTTACATCATGGTCCATGTACACATACATATGCATTTTTTGAAGAAAAAAAAAAAAACAAACTACTTTTGAATTTTAATGTTCCTGTATTCCATTTTTTAAAGCTGGTTGTGACCCATTTAATTTAATACTCAGGCTCACTGTTGAGTTGAAAACCACAGTTTGAAGCCGTTTCAGCCTTAAATCTCAGCTCTTGCCACCCCAGGTCAACCTAACAGGAAAATTGAGTATGAATCTAAAGATAGAACACACAAAGAGGCTTAAAAAATGGAATGAAAAGATAATGGGATTTTTCTACAAACTTTTCACAGCTCCCCCCACCCTACCCCATACATATTTTCTACCTCACCACCCCCAAACAACTCCTATTTTTTTTCCAACTGTGTGTGTGTGTGTGTGCATTTTCATACACTCAGGAATAAACAAGCTTGTCTCCCTCACGTCCTCACCACACACACCTGACATAAACATATATATGTATGATAAGCTAGACTCATCTCCAGGAAGATTTCTAATAAGCTGCTCAAAGAAACATGATCTGCCTTGCTTGTGTTTATTGTTCTTTCACCTCTACCCCTGTCTGCCCACTGGGAAGCAGAGTTGGTAACCCCAAAGCCTAGGGCCGGGAACTAGCACCAGAAACAGAACTTACCCAGAGAGAGGCTCTGTGCGCGTCTCATCATTTTGGCCCAGAAGGCCTGACATGTTGTTATACTTTGGTTCTCTGGGAAGTAAGGCCCACTCTCTGCTACCTACCAGGTGCTGTCCAGTTGACTTTCAGACATGACGACCCCATGTGTGTCAGAGGAGAACTGCACTCCATAGAATTTTCAATGTCTGAAAGCAAGCCTTTCTTCTGAGGTACCTCTAGGTAAACTTGAACCTCCAACCTTTTGGTTAGTGGCTCAGGGCCTTAATCTTCTGCACCACTCTGTGGGAAGTGAGACGAGTCATGGTAATTCTTCAGAGCACATCTCCCTCATCCACCCCTTCTGCTTTAACATATGCTTTTTTGCCTCTTTCTTTCTAACAGGTCAGCGGACAGATTGCAGTCTGGCCAGGTAGGTGTGGCCTGGGCATCCTGGGAAGGGATGATGAGAGGACAGGAATAGCATGACCGCAGCCTCGGAAAGTGCCAAGGGACTGAGTTGTAAAGGTTTTCAACGATTTTGCAAAGGAGGGACCTAGACTTCGGGTTGCTCCCTTCCTTCTGCCTTGCTGACCCCATCTGGCCTCAAATAGAAAGTGGGATGTGCTGTGAGTAGAACTGAGGGAAGTGTGTTATCATTGGCTGAAATAGTCCTGTTGTTGCTGTTAAGTACCGTTGAGTCGATTCCGACCCATAGCGACCCTGTATAGCATTTCCAAGGAGCAGCTGGTGAGCTTGAACCATCAACCTTGCAGTTCAAATGGCTTTGCAATCTGGTATGTTAATCCACAGCGCCACACCAGGACTCCAAAAGCCACTACAATACAAGGGAAATAAATTTTTGACTCTGGAAGATTCTGGTAACCTAACCTTAGCTGCTGGAGCTCCTGGCATGGTGCTGTGGGTTAATGCACTGGACTGCAAGGTCAGTTTGAATCACAAGGTCGGCAGTTCAAGCTCACCAGCCACTCCTCAGAAATGCTATACAGGGTCACTATGAATCAGAATCGACTCAATGGCACTTAACATCAACAATAACCACCTTAGCTGCTAGACTTCATGGAGAGTCTCAGACCCAAAGAAGGAAAAAGAGGAAATAGAATTTGATCTGAGATATGTTTTTTTAATTCAATGCATGGAAAAGGTGAACAGGCCCTAATTAGTGACTATGGCTGAATAATGAAATATTACATTGCATTGGCTTGCCAAACAGCATTGGGAGAAAGCCTTGCCTGATGAACAAGTATGCAACCCTCCCAATGTTTCCCCACCTTCCTCCAACCCTGCCAAATAGTTTTCCCTCCCAGTCACTGTGCTGCTATGAGAAAACTCTACAAGCTGGCAAAGAGCAAACAGTCTTGCAGCCAACAGTTCTCAGATGCCTAAAAATGTGCTGATTTAACTGAGGAAAGAGCTTTAATGGGCTGGGCTCCCTTGAGGCCCTGGGTTAGCCCATTATATCAACCACTTATGTCTGCCAACACACACAGTAATCATGAGGCCATTTACAATTATGGCCTCATTACTTAGAGATAGCTTCATTTGGCTTTCATCGTTCTGTCCTTGTGGATCACAGTAAAGATCCCATTAGTATACCAGTCTTGATGACTGGAGGAAACCAGGATCATGGAATTCCAGGGACTCTTATCTTCGTGACGATAAAGTCTTAATATGTTGTTAAATGCCGTCGTCGAGTCAGTTCTGATCATAGCGAGCCTGTATAGGGTTTCTGAGGAGTGGCTGGTGAGCTTGTACTGCCGACCTTGCAGTTCAAACCAACTAACCCACAGCACCACACCAGGACTCCAAAGTCTTAATCTGTTGTTGTTAAGTGCCACTGAGTTGGTTCTGACCCATAGCAACCCTGTATAGGGTTTTTGAGGAGCAACTGGTGAGCTTGAACTGCTAACCTTGCAGTTCAAATGGCTTTGCAGCAAGTCTGGTGCATTAACCCACAGAGCCACACCAGGACTTATATTAAAGTCTTAATATAAGTTCACCTAAATCCTTATATCTGCAGAGGACACTGTGGGAAACAGAAGAGTGGAGTTAGTTCCTATTGTGTGTACCCTTGGGCTACTTTCTGCCCCTATGAGTCCCAGTTTCCTGTTAAGATGAGAGAATGATACTAGATCTGAGGAGCCCTAAAGTTGCAAAGAGACTTCTCAGGAATATTCTGGTGGTGGGGCAGGGGAGGCCCAGCTGCTAGGCTCTGGTCCCTACCTTTGCCCAAAGCTGTGCATAACTGCTTTCTTTACATGTTGTCCACTGAGTCAGATGCCCTTTCAGAAAAGGCTTCTGAGGCTAAACACGGCTTGAAAACATAGACCTAAAGGATTGCCAAGATTCCTTCAAGTCAGGGTGCTCTATCTTCTAAATTACAGAAAAATCGCTCTCTTTTTCCTCAGTGTTCAAAAGAAAGAAAGCTCTATCATGCTGGTGTCTCCATACAAACAGGAAGATCTTATTGTCTGTCCTTAAATGTGTTGTTGTTGTTAAGTGCCATCAGGTCGGTTCCGACCCGTAGTGACCCTGAATAGGGTTTCCAAGAAACTACTGGTGAACTTGAACCACCGACCTTTTAGATCAAACTGACTTTGCAGTATAGCACATTAACCCACAGCGCCACACCAGGACTCTGTCACCAGATATGTCTTCTTGCAAATTGAACCCATCCTCTCCTGCTCTAATTTTAAATTAGAGGAACCACTGTGCTTGTGTGAAGATAAGAGCTTTATTTGGAAAATAAATTAGCCAGTCTTTTTAGCCATTTCTGGGTCCGAGCTGAACAATGTGCTTAGTTTCATCAACCACCAGATAACTTTTTGATTATTGAAGAGATACATTACTTCTGGGTTGCAGAGTGGTTATCCGTCTCATTCTGGTCTCCATTTTCTCTTTTTCCTCCTTGTTTCTGGATGGTGTTCTCTCTGATTCGCCGGGGGTCAAATGCAGGCGTAGCTCAACCGTGAGAAAACAGGTAAGAGCCCAGCAACAAGAGCTTCTGGTCTGGCTGGAGAGTCAATTGCATCCTGCAGACATGGATGGAACTCCACTATGGGCAGGACAGACACTCCTCTGACTTCATGCCTGAGTTTGGAATATTCCATTTAATCAGAGTATGTTCAATACTACAGCAACTTCATGGTGGTAGGCATCTTCCTACGTAACTGGGGATTCATTTTGATGGTGAAAGATCATGCCAGAACTGCGCATGGTGTCACCTCTCCAAGAGATCATAAGACAGCCTCATACTTCCTGTGTCTGTATCAGCAGCTAACAGCTCACCTGGGCAGTCTTCATTTTACAGATGCTTGTGTTTGTTTCTGATGCTATGGTCCTGCTAGATGCACTCCTCACACGTGCTAAATATGCAAAGGAAAGTCTAGTGTAGCAGTTGACAGCAAGAGCTGTTGAAGTCTGCAATTTTGCCCAGGATCTTCAATGTTGTTTTAAAACCTGACCCTCTCCATTACCCATCTTTTGTTGTTGTTAAGTGCCGTGGAGTCCATTCTGACTCATAGCGACCCTGTATATGGTTTCCAAAGAGTGGCTTTACCTATATTCGGAAAGATCTTATCAAACAGTGGCATGGATGATCCACATCAATAGATAAGCTAAATAGCACTTGCGCTTGCTTAATATTAATTAATATAATTTTTTTTTTTCAACAGCAGATTTGACTTCCTAATGATACTTAACAGAAAATACTGAAATGATTTTGTGTGTTGCATTGTGAATTATGAGCCGGGCTGCTAACCAAAAGGTCAGCAGCTCAGATCTACCAACCACTCTGTGGGAGAAAGATGAGACTTTCTGCTCCCATAAAGAATCACGGTCTTGGAAATCCTATACTGGGTCACTGTGAGTTGGAACCATCTTGGTGGCACACAACCACCACCACCACCAAGCTCATACTAAGCAGTAGGCAGTTAGCAGGGAATGGAAGAAGAGAACTCAGAAACACTCAGAACTTTGTGTCGACCAGGGGAAAGCTGATAGAGGCTTTAAAACATCCCCTTGGGTAATGCACAGTAACTTTAGCCATAGGGAGATAATCTAATGTTGCAAACATGAGATTTCTCTTGCGGCAGTCTTCTCCACTCATCTGGCTGCTCTGGCTAGATGAACCATCCAGCTGGGGAACTGAAATAGTATAGATCCCATTTGGTTGTCACTGTGTCTTTTTTCTCTCCTTTGCAGATCTCATTTTAGCCAAAACACCCTCCAAAGCAATTACGCAGTCTTGCCATCATAAAAATTTCATTATAACTCTCCTTCCTCTGATTGTTCTATTGCTTTTTTTTCCCCCCCTTTTGTCCCTTAATTTCGTTTCAAACTAAAGAGGAATGGAATGCCTTCCAGGTATAATTTATTGAATTTAGAACTAAGAGATGAAGTATCTTGTGAAGCCAAGCATTTTTTCCCGTTTCCACAAAGAACAGAATTGAACTATAAGTTGGTTCCTTTCGGTTCCTGGACCAAAATATTTCTCCCTGCTCATAGATGGAGCATCCATGCGAGGACTTTACAGCCTCAGCTCTGGCTCTGAGAGTGTGGAGGCCAAGCTTAGAGGGTGGAAGCTGGCTAGCTCTGGCTGCTCGGGCTCTCCATCCAGGGGAATGAATAGCACCCATCTGGTTTGCATCCTGCTCTGCCTAAGTAGTTGCAGGCAAAGCATGTTTACCCCGTGCTACATTTGCGTAAGAGTTCCAGATACACCAAAAACCTCCATCAAAAAAAAGATCTTGTTTTTGTTCTGCTTCCCTAGTTTTCCTCCAGCACTTCGAACCTAATGGTGGATCTGCAGAGAGTGTTTGTCACGTAGACAGGAGGGGAGACAAGGAAGTAATTTGGGAGATGGGTAATTTTGTATAAATAGTCAAGAGGTGAATGTTTGTTTTCTTTATGGCAATTCAGCCAAACAAGAAGAATTTAGTAAGTTTTATTTTTGAAGATCCCTAATAGGTTCCAGTCATTTTTTTGACCCTAGTAAAGATTAGGATCTCAAACCAACCCAGACTTCTTTAGATTGTTACCTCTAGCTAGACCTTTCCTGTTCCCTTCAAGTTCCAGCATTTTATATTCCCTGACCATTGCTTCCATAGCTTCTTTGCTTGTCCTTCTTCCTCTATTCTTCTAAGTCTGGGCATTTTTGTAAGACGTGGCCCTCTCTTACCTTCTCCCCATATAATTTCCCTTGTCAGTTGTATTCCCTTAGACACATTCTCTCTCCTTCTTTAGTGCCCTTATTTTCTATAAACTTGCCATTCTGCCTTTAGATCTAACTCCCCGCTGGTGGCTGGGCATTTATACTTGGAATTTGAAATCACACCGTCTACTTTCAGCATCAGTTTCTCTGCCTTCCCCCTCCACATTTTAACTTTCTTGGTACTTCCCCTAACTTCTCCATTTCTGTTCGTAGGAAGCTCCTCCGACTTTTCATAGCCTCTGAGGCCCCGCGTATCTCTGACCTCATTTTTTTGGTGTGGGCACCCACATCTGATCAGGTGTCAAGGCTTGTGTTTTGTCCTTCAGTGAAGACAGAAATTGAGCACGTATACTAGACACCAGTACATGACAGGAAATCCTAACCCTCTCACTCAGGAGAAAGTACGCCAAACGATTACATACTAAGGCATTAGCTGGGTGCTTCCCGGTTGTTTTCTCTCGCAAACCCCTGAACCCCTGCTTTACTATGTTTTCCAAGTCCCGCCCGCTGCTCTTCCCACCCTTCTTTGGTTGTTGTTATTAGCTGCTATCAAGTCAGCCCTGACTCATGGTATCCTCATGCACAACAGAGTGAAACACTGCTTGCTCAGTTGTGGGTCGGACCCTTGTTGATCCATAGTCTTTATTGACTGATTTTCGGAAGTAGATTGCCAATCCTTTCTTATTAGTTCACCTTAGTCTAGAAGCTCTGCTGAAACCTGTCCAGCTCATAGTAACCCACAAACCTCCGCTGCCCTACTGGTGGTAGCCGTGCATGAAGTGTGTTGGCTGTGAGTCGAAACTGGGTCTCCTTCATGGGAGGCGAGAACTCTGCCTCTCAACAGAATTACTCTTAATCTGATTGGGCGGAACTTTGGCCTAATTGTTCTTAAAGATTTCTTCCAACCCTGAACTTATATGGCCAAAAATACTGTGAAAATAGAATGAAGCTGACATAGATTCTAAATTTGGTGAGGGAGAGAGAGAAAGGAGGAGGAAGAGACACTGAGAGAGAAACCCATGAAGAAACTGCTGCGGCAGCTGTGTGCAGAGTTGATGGCAAGATGCAGGTTCTTTGGGGACACCACAGGAGCACATGGGCTGCTTTTGGAGGAAAGGCATTCATTCATCACAAGGGGAGTAGAAACAGGAGGGTCCAGTGCCTGGTGACTCTCTAGTTTTTGCTCCCACTGGACTTTTACCTTCGGCTCTGTGGGAGCTGGGAGCTAGGACAGTGCTCTTCTGCAGTAGGACAGGTCTTCTCGGGTCCACCCCAATGCCGCCAATGATCCCTCTGGGACCTGGCGGTCACCAGGGACATAAGCATTAATGTTTTTGATGCTCTTGCTTCCTGCCTGTAGCCCTACATTGTTGTCATTAAGTGCCTTCAGGTCAGTTCTGACTCATAGCAACCCTCTATAGGGTTTCCAAGGAGTGGCTGGTGAGCTTGAACTCCCGACCTTGTGGTTCAAACCGACCTTGCAGTCCAGCGCATTAAACTTCAGCGCCATGCCAGGACTATATACTTCCCCTTAAAAACCATTCATACTCCATTTCCTACAAGGCCAGGCAAAACTTTGCTGTCGTGTAACTTGTTGAAGCCAGTGACTTGTGAGCTTTCCAGCCTACCTTCTTCTATGCCTTTGTATAGTAAGTTCCCAGGCTGTGGGTGTCCAATTTATAACATGATGCTGACTTACTCTTTAATGTTTTGTAAATTTGCCCTCACTTTGAAACAGTTGAACCAACCTGCAACAAATGCTTTAGCTTTTAAATAATGGAAAAGGCTTCTAGCTTCTTCTTGCATTAACCCCAATGCCATTGAGTTGAATCCGACTCATAGTGACCCTGTATAGAGTTTCCAAGACTCTACATCCTTAAAGGAACAGACAGTCTCAGCATTCTCCCACAGAGCCACTGTGGGTTTGAACTGCCCACCTTGTGATTAGTAAGTGCTTATCCTGCAGCACCACCAGGGTATGCACCTGTTCCAGTTTGCCTACAGTTCTAACTTAAAGGCACATTTAGGAACAAGTCTCATTCTTAACCCAGGGACTCCTTGTATATAAATCCAGGACAGCAAACCTTAATGAAAAATCCTCATGTTGTTCAAAGTATTACAGTTTGCTACTGTCAATAGCAAAACATCCTAAAAACCGATGCAGACTTCTAAAAAGTGGAGACTTTGTTTTCTTGTGGGATCCAGTTTCTTTTTGACATCAGGGGAACAAAGGCCAAAAGAGTCTTCCAGATCACCTAGGCTGGCTGGCAAAGTCAGTGATACCTACACGAGGGCAGATGCTGGCCTCCATGGCTGGAAAACTGAAAGAGGCAGATGGCTTTTTGGGGGGTCATGAGATGAGCATTTGGGTTTGCCAAGATCGTCCTGATTCCAGCCCCACCTCAGTACACACAGAATCCCTTTGGCAGTGCCCTTGGTTCTCAGCAAGCTTGGGAGCATGAGGCCAAGCTCCCTCCTCTCTTAGCCTGACTTCTTGGTGATGCCCAGCTGCTTCCCTAACAGTGGCCAAACATCCTAGCTACAGTTGAAAATGCAGAGCTGGGAGAGGGGGACAGGCCAGCCTATGAAATGGGCGGAACACACATGAGGACTCGTCCTACTTGAGAGTTCTGGCTCTAGCCTTACCATCTAAAGTCCTTACCATCTAAAGAGCCCCTGCCAGATTTAAAAGCCTAGTAGAGTTTAGGAAGATTTCCTATGCACAATGAGCATGATTTTCCTAGGTGTTAGGATGTAGTGTGAGTGGTGGTAAGTTGCTCAGGCTTAGAGTGTAATGACCTGGTTTGAATCCTGGCTCTGCCACTTAACCTTCTATATGACCACAAACAACCCTGGAACGTCTGTAAGCCTTCATTTCCTCATTTGTAAAATAGCACGTACCTCAACTGGTTGTTACCAGGACCGGTCTATCTCAAGCACTTAGTATATGGCCCAATACCTCCATAAATTCCTCTGTAAATGGTAAGCACTAATTTTCATGTGCCTCCAGGAACTCTCCTCACTCTGAATTTTCTCCTCAGTTTATGGCCGCCAAAGTGAGGCCCAAATAAACTCAATAATTTGAGCAGCGTTTCACAACAAAATGGCAGAGCAAAAATTAACATTGGGAAGGCTTGCTTCTTTGCTTAGTATCAGTTATGCCCAGCACACCCCCTGAAGCTCCTCTTGGTTCATTCTTCTGCCTTCAATGATTATTAATTGAGCACCCACTATGTGAGAGGTATCTTGACAGCCAGGGACATAGATAGTGTTTGAACTGGTGACAAATGGAAATATTTCTATCCACACAATTAATTAACATCGCTGTAAGGCCTGTAGTAGGGGAATCTGATTTTTGTGATGCCTGAAAAAGGGTCCTTGTGCATCGATATTAACACTGAGACCCAAAGGCTTCCTAGGAATCAGCCAAGGGAAGAGAGGGAACTACTGGATTAGGAGAGCATTCCAGCATCTGGGGCAAGTCGTTCTTAACCTGCTTGTATATAAGCTTGAGGCAGTGGAGAACTACCTTGAGGAACAGAAAGGAGGTCAGTGTGGCTGTAACCCGGAGATGGGAGGGCACAATGAGAGACAAAGGCAGAATCCTGAACAGGCAAAGTTATGTAACGAAAGCATTTGGAAGTCTTTGAAAGATTTTAACTTAGAGAGTTGTTGTTGTTGTTAGGTGCTGTCGAGTCAGTTTGGACCCATAGAGACCCTGTAAAGGTTTCCGAGGAGCAGCTGGTGAGCTTAAACGCCGACCTTGTGGTTCAAACCAACTTTGCAGTCCAGCGCATTAACCCACAGCACCACACCAGGATTCCACCCTAGCAAGTACATGATAAGAAATACATAGAAAAAGATTACCCAACCAATATATGAGGGAAGAAAAACATGGATTGGAGGGGATAGCAAGAAAGGGACTAGGAAACAGTGATTGAGATCTTGGTGACTTTGACTGGGTGGTGGCAGTAATGTTACAGAAAATTGTGAATGGATTTAAAAGACAAATGGACAGAATGTATTGATTGGTTGGGTGGCCAAGGGTAGGAAGCTGGTTCGGAATGAAAAATAATTCACTCAGTTTACCACAGGGTTTAAGGCATGTGTGTGGCATTACAAGTAGATGGTAGTATACATGCGTATCTTGTTTTAGTGCACTTTGCAGATACAGCTTTTTTTTTTTTTTTTTTAAACAAACTGAAGGATTGTGACAACCCTGCCCTGAGCCAGCCTATCATTGGTGCTGGTTTTCCAACATGTGCTTACGTCATGTTTCTGTGCCACCTTTCGGCAGTTGTCACCATATTTCATAATGCTACCATGTAGCGCTGTAGGATAAGCGCTGGACAGCTAACGGTAAGGTGGGTGGTTCAGATTCATCAGGTGCTCTTTAGAAGTCCTATACATGGTCACTATGAATCGAAACCAACTTGACAGCACTTAACAACAACAACATATTGTACAACGTATTGTATATTTAATAGATTATAGGGTAGCATAAACGTAACTTTTATATGTACTGGGAAACCAAAAACTTCATGTGGCTTGAGTTTTTTGTGATATTTACTGTGTTGTGGTGGTCTGGAACCTAACCCACAGTATTTCTGAATTCTGCCTCTATTGCTCAGGAGCTTGGAGGATAGGCCCAATGCTTCTTCATGGACTGGCCACTGATCCAGCTGAGACAACTTTCACATAGCCTGGCCCATTTTCTTTGCCCCTGGGTCATCCATGCTTGGAGATTCTAATGTTCTGGTTCTCTTTGGCTTTTCAGGATTCCAGCCAGGCAATTCCTCTGGTGGTAGAAAGCTGTATCCGGTTCATCAGCAGACACGGTAAGCAGAATTGCAGCCTTGCCCATATTTGTACAAAGATTGGGAAGAACATCTAGGAGTTTTTTGTAGAGTAAGCATAAAGGTAGACTTTCCCATCCTGCTGTTCAGAAAAGGAATAAAATCTTCTTTGTTCATATAGTGTTTGCCATTTTAGAAAGGCCACACCCAGACATTGAGACAGTCGATGTTTTGACCTAAAATGCCTGAGCCACTTACCACCTTCCCTTTTCTAGCTTGAGAGTGAGTTCTAAATTACAGCTGTCAAGTGAGTGAGTACAGTTGGCACTATGTGGCAGCAATAGATTTGTCATTACTCACTGTCTTTGTGTGTGTAGGTGTCTCCCGCTGCACGGCCTTGACCCTTTTATAACAATTGACTTTTTACACCAGACTGGCTTGAAACAGTTCCTTGTCTAATGTCGCGTTGATTCCTAATAGCATTCTGTCTTTGTTCTGATTTGGTCTCACTCGATTCAGCCTCCCCAAGCACTCAGTTTGTAACTGGGCATCAGAAATTGTTTGCAGGACTGGCTCCTTCACATACTTGAGTCAAGTCACGCTGTCTTCTGCTTGCACAAAGCTGAATCTTATAAACTCCATCCCACACTGGCTACCGGTCTGGATGAATAGAATTTGAAGGATGGAGATAAAATGCCAGAGAATTGATTTTTTCCAAGTATCAGAGTATTTAGAAAAGCCAAAGATATCTTAGATGGAGCTGTGGAGCTACTAGGAATTGGGCATCAGAAATTGTTTTTGATACTGCCCTGCCTGGTAATAGGAAAAGGGGCAGGGTGACTTCCCTGGAATTAGGAAGTATGCAGATGGTTGCTAGTCTGAATTCAGAGGAAACCATTCTCTCTCTCCCCTTCGCCCCTTGCCTTCATCTTTCCTTAGGAGTTGGGACATTGCTTGGTTTCCTTTTTGGAATAGCAATGATTTTAATATGTTTTCAGCTTATCTCATCAGCTACCGTTTTTTAACCTTATCTCTATTCACTTGAAATAACAACATTGTATATCACTATTGGATCATCAAACAAATATTTATCAAGCCTTGATCCATACTGGATACCATGCATTATGATGCAGTTGGGAGAAAATAAATAAGCATGTGAGCAGTTAAGTAAGAAGAGATAAGCTATAGTAATTCAGAATAGCAGTATAAGAAATTTCACAAGATAGTAATGATGAATGGTCAAGAAGTTGGAAAAGAGAAGTCCAAATATAGTCCAGGGGAGGAAGAATTACTTGTGCCTAAAGAACAGTAGAAAGAAGAGAATTGGACTTCCTGTTTATTGATCTATGCATTTCATTCATACATTTATTCATTCAAAAACCAAATATTGTCTATTGTGCTCCAAGAAAACATTTCTGCCTTCATGGACTTGACATTCTTCTGCAGGACAGATAAATGCAATCAATTTGATTAGTCAGTAAATAAACAAATTAATATGCCCCATGTCAGATGTTGGTGAGCATCATGCAGGAAAATAAAACTGGGTAAAGGAAATGGAGGAGGAAAACAGTTTTAGATGGATTGGGAAGAGACTTCTCCTAAGAAGGTGGTGTTTGAGCAGATTCCTGCAGTCAGCAAATGAAGGAGTGAGCTCCATGGATATGTGGGGAACAGTGTTTGGTGGATAAGGAACCTCAAGGGCAGAGACCCTAAACAGGGAGTGTACTCTGCTTGGGCAAGGAACAGCAGACATGAGGCCAGGGTGACTGGAACAGAGTGGGTACTAAAGAGAATGACAGGAGATAAAGCTGGAGGCCAGACTCACAGGGCTACGCTGACTGCTGTTGGGCAACGTGAATGCTTGGGTTTCATTCTGAGTTAAATGGGAAGATATTGGAGAATTGGAATTGGGAGTGGTCTTTGTAGAGAGAGGATCCATGCTGCTGCACAGAAGTGAGAACAGCAACAAGGTGGACAGTTAGGAGGCTGCGCAGCCCTCGGACAATTGGCCGGTGGCTTGGACCAGGGACTTAGCCACGGAGGAAGTGAGACTTGAATCTACCTTGTACCTGTACAGGCACAGAACATGAGGAGACAAAAATGCACCCCATAGTAGCCACTTAGAAACATTTGTTTAGCTAAATTGAAATCCGCCCCCTACCCCCAAATAGGAGTTCAGGGTATTCTGAACTTCCTAAAAATGATGGTTAAAATTTTGTTGTATTTAATGGTGCCAGGTCCACAAGCTTTGTCAACTTCAAAAGGATCCATGGCCCACAAAATGCTAGAAATTTTCACAGTCTTGCTATCTTCATAACCTCTGAAATGTAGGCATGATGGGTCCCCATTGTATATAGGTGAGAAAGTGGAAACTCATCTGTACATGGAAGATCAGGATGACCCAGGAAGACTTACAGAAAGGGAAGGGATATGAGGAACAACATGATTTTAAACATCAAAACTTTTTCATGAGGAAGGAGAATAAAGCAATGTGAGCGGGCTGTAATTGCTGTAGCAGTCATTTCAAACATTCTCTGGAAGAACAACTTTTGGCTATAACTGGATTCAGTGCAAAATGGAAAGGGTTTGTGCCATTTTCAAATAACTTATCCAAGTAGGATAAGTTTTATGTGTTTACATTGCAGTGTGCACTAGGAAAAAGGTGTGTGTGTGTGTGTGTGTGTGTGTGTGTGTGTGTGTGTGTGTGTAATGTTGGTCAGATGAGAGAGTGAGAACTGACCTATATTATAATAAAAAAAAAACAACTGGTTTTCCTCTTTACTCTCTGGAAACTGACACTTCATTTATTTGTGTTCTGGCTTTCTGAATCTTCACATTAGGTGCTCTAAAACTTCAGCTGTTCAGCAAGAACACACAGTGGTCCTTCTAAAGCAAAGGGTCTTTTTTATGTTTTTAAACCTTTTTACCATTGATTTTTGTTGCTAAGAATTCACACAGTAGCTAACAATTTTCTACACTTAAAATTCTTTGATATCAATTAAATTCTTTGAGTTTTGCAGCCATTGTTACCCTCCTTTTCCAGATTGTTCCTCTCCATGAATATGAACTCACTAGGTTCTTGAGGGGAAATGGAAGTCAGACCAAAAGAGAGCCTGCTGCCTGAGTTCCATTTAGCTCGTCTGATTTCTTTTTATCCTGGGCCCATGGCTCATGGATGCTTTTCTTAATGGACTGATCTACCAAGAAATTTAAGAAAAGAGAAAAAAAGAAAAGCTCTTTTCTCACCAAGTTGGAACAGTGGGCTTGACTGACTAGAACACCCAGTAGAGTAACCCCTGAGGTAACATTTCCTGCATTTTTGACAAGTCACTGAGTATGTGGCTATTTCTCTGTGAACACTTGCTGTGTCTATTCTGTGTTTGAGCGCATTATCTGATTGTTACATCCCATTGGTAACTAATATGATACTATTACATCGGTACTAATGGGTTTGTAACGTTCTAGAGATTTCCACAGAGGAGCAGGCAACTCCAGTCCTATTACAAGTCTGGCGATTATATTTCCCCTGCTTACTTCTTAATGTTGTTTCAATTGGATTTCAGTATTTCAGTCCTGGGCTACATGATTTACCTCCAAAGGACTAGCTGATAGAACCCAGCTGCCACCTCACCAAGATAGCAGCTCCAAAACAGTGGGGGAAAATTTAGCATTATTATATTTTATCTTCCTAAAAATAATTTTATTATAGATTTCTCTGACTTGTCAAGGTTTTAAAGGATTGTACCTATAAGTGGGCTTTTGACAGAATGCCCAAGATGGAGACACAGGGCTCCTGAGAGAACCAGTAGGGCATGATATGATATGATCAGAGATGCTAGTTCAATCCAGCCCCCAGGCCCAGTGGGTAGATTTCTTACTGTGTGTAGTGTCTCTGTAACCAGATCCTTGTTCAAATCCAGTGATCCACACAAGTGTGGTTTCAATCCTATCCTGGAGTGGGCCACCAGGCATGAGGGGCAAGTACAGGCTTGCAACGTGAAGGCCTGGGTTTGAGTCCTGGTTCTAGTTCTTAACATCTGTTTAATTCAAGACTGGTCATAACTCATCTAGAAAAGGACCACCCTTGCTTCACAGGGCTCTTGTGAGAATCATATGGCTGGTTTCTGTGAAAGCATTTGTTAGCAGCAAAGCACTATACAAGCTTTATTTTTGTTTGTTTTCCTGTTGTTAATAGATAGATAGATAGATAGGTAGGTAGGTAGATAGATAGATAGATAGATAGTTAGATAGTTAGATAGATTTATATATAAGACCAAATTTAAATTTAAAGGATAAAAGAGTCAAAGATAAAGGGAAACCAAGTTACTGAAAGTAAAACATCCAGAAGGGAATTGTTGAAACTATTAAACCATGGTGCAAAATATAACCAATGTTACTAAACAATATGGACTGTTGTTGTTAAGCACTGTTGAGTTGGTTCTGACTCATAGCAACCCTGTATAGGGTTTTCGAGGAGCAGCCACTGGGTTTGAACCACCAACATTGCAGTTAGCAGTCCAGTACTTATCCTACCACACTACACCAGGACTGGAAACCTAATTTGCTGTGCAAACTTTCACTGAAAACCTAATAAAATGCTATTTAAAACATACACACATACACACACACAGGGGCCTCAAAAACTTAGTAGAAAAATCCCATTATCTTTTAATTCCATTTTTCCATAAATTTTTTAAACCCCCTTGTCTAAAACTAAACATTTGCCAATGTAACATTTTTCTACATGTACATTTCAATGACACTGAAAACTTTTATCATGTTGTACAATTACCACCCACTCTCTGTTTCCAAATTATTCCAAAAAGTTAATGCCCCTATACAAAAACACTGTCTTCTCCCCTGCCCCTAAGTAACTACTATAAACCTTGGTACAGTCACCTACTATAGATATTTCCTATAAGTGGGATCATACAATATTTGTCCTTTGATTTATTTCACTCAGCATGATGTTTTCAGTATTCATCCACAACATAACATGTGTCAGAACTGAGAATGTTAAAAGCAACGCAAAAAACGTCACCCATGCTTCAAAACCATATGTGTCCTTCTTGTTAAATAGGGGCCTAACAGTTGCTTCTTGGAAACCCAGTACAGGGTCACTATGAGTCGGAATTGACTCGATGGCACTTAACAACAACAACTCTCTGTTAGGTTTTCTGGTTTGGTTTTTTTCCTTTTTGGCTGAATCATACTCCACTGTATGTATTTACCATGTTTTGCTTATCCATTCATGTACTGATGGACACTTGGGTTGTGTCTTCCTTTTGTCTGTTGTCTGCCAACAGCGCTGTTGTCAATATGGGTGTGCAAGTTTCTGCTTGTGTTTTTGTCTTCAGTTCTTTGGGGTATATAACTAAGAACGTACATTTATTACAATATTTCTATGAGTTCTGGTGTGGCGCTGTGGATTAATGCACTCGATTGTAAGGTTGGTTTGACAAAGTTCGACTGTTCAAACTCACCAGTCGCTCTTTGGAAACCCTATACAGGATTGCTATGAATCGGAACCGACTCGGCGGCACTTAACAACAACAAGACCTAAAAAGACATGGTTTTCATGTATGTTATCATAGGATAGCTTTCACGCATCTTTTTCTTTGGGTGACAACTGTAGTCAAGGGCCAATGCCTAGCACAATGCCAGACAGTAATATCTGTTGACTGATCACCTGTACGTTTCCGACTTTTCTCATTAAATGTTGAAAGCATTGTCCCTTAGAACTGTCAGAGCGTGTTGAAACTATTAGAGAGGTAATTATAGAACAGCCTCTAGAATTATTCAGACCTTTGGAAACTTCTGATGATTTCTAGTTTCTTGCCTGCCATGCTTAGTGGGTCCCATTTTGACCCTGGGTGATAAGAATGTGTCAGGGGTCCTTTGCCCCACTTGGCAGACGGGAACAGAGAGGCAAAGACAAGGGCCGCAGTTTGCCTCATGTTAGAAGGGAATTCAGAGTTAGAAGGGAATTCAGGTGTAAACTTCCTGCCTTTAAATCGCTGACTGTATGCTCTCTTAGGCTAATAAAAGTCAGCTCAGGGATTTCCCCAACCTCCTTGCATACACTTTTGCCTTTTGTCCTGAAGAAGAGAGGAACCAGATCCCTTGAGTGTTTAAGTACACACTGGCTGGGGGAGAACTTGGAGCTGGATTTGTGAATTTACTTTGTCTCTGTCTTAATTATTTTTCCCTATCTGTTCTCCAGGACTACAGCATGAAGGAATTTTCCGGGTGTCAGGATCCCAGGTGGAAGTAAATGACATCAAAAACGCCTTTGAAAGAGGTGAGGAAACAGCCTTGAAGATACGCCCGAAATGTTTGCTCTGACCCCCCTTCACTCCCCTTGTATTAACTCCACACTTTCTCCCCTGAGAAGCACCCAGAGATTAGCAAGCTAGCTTGCCTCTCTCTTGAGTCAGGGCACCTGCTCCCTTGTAGACACTGGCCCCTCGCCTATGCAAGGAGAAACCACCAGGCATATCCCAGTTCCACCCTTCCTTTCTCAGGCCCCATTCATCCTGCCTTCTCCTACTATGATCTACCGAAACCCAAGAAGTTAACTATGATAGCTGGGCGGTTTATGGCTTCATCCGGAACCCTCGGTGGCAGTTAATATCAAGGCTAATGCGCCTGTTCATTGTAGCCCATTTATTATCTTGTGGGCAATTAAGGTAATGGGCAAGCTTTGGCAATTTCCGTCACTGTAATGGATATATATAGTTTCAATTTGAGGTTGGTCCTATCATTAAATCTAATTACATCTGATATGAAATTTTCCATAGGGAGCCCTGGCATGATTGTTCTCCTGTAAGTAGGTATCTTGTTGTAGGCCAGGAGAGCTATTCTCCCTGGCCTCATTTTCCTTCCCCAGGGGCGCAGTCCCAACCTAGTTTCATGATTCTTGTGAGAGAGGCAGATGCCATGTCCCATCCCCATCCCATAGGGAATGTCCCTGAGCTAATCTGACATAAAAGAGTTTTTACTGATGAACTGTCTGGTCCTGGGGGCACTGAGCTTGAACTGCCTTTGCTTTATCTGGTCCTTGGTCCACCCCACATGTAGCCACCCTGCTGGACAGAGAGCAGATGGACCAGGACTAGGACACAGATAGCTACTCCTCCCTCACCACTGCCGCCTCAACTTGGGTATTTTTGCCTTTCTCAACTCTGTCTTTCCATTTTGGGGGGTTGTTTATTCCCAGGAGAGGACCCCCTGGCTGGAGACCAGAACGACCATGACATGGATTCTATAGCTGGCGTCCTGAAGCTTTACTTCCGGGGGCTGGAGCACCCCCTCTTTCCCAAGGACATCTTCCACGACTTGATCGCCTGCGTCAGTATGTATTAATTTGACCTCAGACTGGATTCTGGGCAGAGCTCTGGAAACTTCTCACCAAACTCTATGTTGTTGTTGTTGTTGTTGTTAACTGCTGTCAAGTTGGTTCCAACTCATAATGGCCCTGGAGAGAGTTTCCAAGGAACGGCTGGTGGGTTCAAGCCACCAACCTTGTGGCTAGCAGTCCAGTGCTTATCCTACAGCGCCACACCAGGACTTCTCTGGTGTCTTTGTTTCTCGTAGGCTTTTTGGTAGTTTTCCCTTTTCCCTACTGAAATTTCTCCTCCTCTACACTTGTTCATCCTTTAGTGAGAGAGGAGGTACAACTTTTAAGTAATGTTCTAGAATCACAACCTTGTACCCAGGTTGACGTTCCACTTTGACTCAGTTTATGGCCTGAGTGACGATTCCTTAGTTACTCCCAGGGAGAAGGATGTGTGAGCATTCAGAAGCCTAACTCTCTTGTTTCATTACTTATTGGAAATGTGGATAATTAAATATGTGCATCTCTCTGGCCAGGTCTTTTTCCACAGCTCAGCCTAGGTAAAGTACCTTAAGTTGGTACTTAAGTAACTTAAGGGTTACTGAGGCAGTTCAAGATAACTTGTTTACCCGGGTGTCCCCTTGAGATGTGCTTTTGCTTTGAATCTGCCCTTCACAGTTCTTTTTCACATAAAAGCACTGCAGAAAAATGATAATGTCCATGTGGCAAAGTAGGGAGGTGGGGAGGCTGTCTTGGTGGAGGCACAGACTGAAGACCATACCTGTGATTAGCATGTCTGCAGCACACCCATCAGGAAACTACTGGTCTTCTTCCCACTTGTCATTACTTACACAGGGACCTGCTGTCTCCTGCCTTTAGCCACATTCTGCCCACCCTCACTGTAGAAAGGGGAGGGGATGATGAGCCAGGCTTATCCTGAGGATGAGATGACGCATGTAGAACAGACAGGACAGGACCTGCATAGCCTCTCCCTCCCCAGAGATTGACCCTCCAACACTGATGGTTGAGTGACCCATAGCAGGTTTATGGACAGTTCCTTGTCTGTGGTTGTTTAAATAAAAGGGAGTAGGTGGGGTGGGGAACATCCCAGCCCCTGCTGTACCCATGGGTATACCTTATGTCTTACATTGCTAATGTCTAGAGCTCAGCATGTGCCCACCACAGAAGTCCCAACAAGATCATGGGGATGGAGCCCTTTCACTGTGTGTGTGTGTGTGTGTGTGGAACTTCTGACCCTGATTCCCTGGGTCTTAGCCACAGTGGAGGATAACATGGGCTTTCTTCTTTCAGCAATGGACAACCTGCAGGAGAGAGCGCAGCACATCCGTAAAGCCCTCCTGGTCCTGCCCAAAACCACTCTCATCATCATGAGATACCTCTTTGCCTTCCTCAATCAGTAAGTAGCTTTTCCAGTGAGCGCTGGCTTTGGCTAGGACCTTTGTCTGTTCATTTATCCTGACAACTTTATATTGAACACTTATGACTGTTTGTGCAAGGCCTGCTGGAAGAATTCTAAGCTGGAAGAATACACTGGTAAATAAGAGATGAAATCCCTGACGTAATTTAGCGTATGTTACAGGACAGGAGACAGATAATAACAGATATGTCTGGTGATAAGTGCTTTAAAGAAGGATAAGGAAGGGAATAGAGAATGCGGAGCCTGAATTGGGGCAAGAGGTGAAAGAATGAGAGCTTCTTGAAGCTGGGGCAGTCAGAAAAGGCCTCTCTGAAAAGTATCTGAGCTGCAGCCTAAATGAAGTGAAAGGAAGAACCATAGGGGCAGAGGGTTAGCGTAATGAGTTTAGATTCTGGAAGCGATTGGAAGGTTTTAAGCTAAAGAATGTTGTGATCTAATTTATATACTTGTATGTATGTGTGTGTTTTGTTAAGTGCTGATGAACTGTCTGGTCCTGGGGGCACTGAGCCTGAACTGCCTTTGCTTTATCTGGTCCTTGGTCCACCCTACATGTAGCCACCCTGCTGGACAGAGAGCAGATGGACCAGGACTAGGACACAGATAGCTACTCCTCCCTCACCACTGCTGCCTCAACTTGGGTTCTGACTCAGAAACTCTGTATAAGATTTCTGAGGCTTTAAATCTTCACGGGAGCAGAAAACCTCAAACTGCAGACCTCGTGGTTCACAGTCCTGTGCTTGTTATATGGAGCCACTGCATTTTACACACACATACACACACACACACACACACATACATATTTACTGCTAAACAACCATGCAGCTACTTTGTGGACTTCTTGTGTGTTGCTGTAGGATCAGCACTGGGTTGCAAACCACGAGGTCGGCAATCAAACCCACCTCCTGCTCCCCGGAAACCTCCATACAGGGTCACTCTGAGTTAGAACTGACTCCACGGCACTTAACAAAAATAAAACATCCGCTTTGTGGAGAATTTACTGGGAAGGTTTGGGAGGAGAAGCAGGGAGACTCTGCGGAGGTTTTGTATTGGCTCTCCCAATGTGCTGTGACTTAGACTGGGGTGGTGCTGATGGAGATGATGAGGAACGATCATGTTGGGGTCTATTTGGGCATAGCATTGACATAACACAATGATGGGTTAGATGTAGAGTAGGAGGAAAGAGAGCAATTAAGGTTGACTTAATTTTAAATTTTTGGCATGAGCAACAAGTAAATAATGAAGCCATGTACCAGATGTGCAGGAAGGAATCAAGACAAATCACTACAATGTGGACAGGCTCCCAGAGCTACCTGCTAGATGTTCAAGTGGAGATTCTAAGTAGGCAGTTGAACATAGGAATCTAGCCCTCAAGAAAGGAGCTTGGAGTGGGATCATTCTTGTGTTGGTGATATTACCTGAGTTACCAGCCGTGCCTTAGACTTTTCTAGGGCATACATGCTGTTGTTTAATCCCATTGCTGGCTTTACCGAGCCACAGAGGTCCTGGCTCTGCAGACTGTCTGCTTTACATAGCTGGGTCTGCTCCTTGAATAACCTAGACCCCAACTCAGCACTTCAATTGCTTTTGAGTTTAAAACCCCTAATGGCTAACACAGAGTCCTGATCTAACACTGTGGGATAAACATTGTGGAAGAAATGATGCATTTGAGTTAAGATGTTGGAAAAGAAGTATTGAAAGTACCATGGCCTGCCAGAAGAACAAACCAATCTGTGTTGGAAGATGTTGGAAGAAGTACAGCTCCTTAGAAGCCAGGATGACCAGACTTCATCTCTCATAATACGGACATATTATCAGGAGGGATCAGTCCCTGGAAAGGACATCATGCTTGGTAAAGTAGAGAGTCAGTGAAAAAAAGAGGAAGACCCCCAGCGTGATGGATTGGCACAGTGACAGCAGCAGTGGGCTCAAGCATAGCATTTGTGAAGCTGGTTCAGGACTGGACAGTGGTTCTTTCTGTTGTACTTAAGGTTGCTCTGAGTTGACAGAGCCTAACAACAGCAGCTAACTACAAGGTCAGAGAATCAAACCCACCAGCTACTCCAGGGTAGAGAAATGAGGCTGTCTACTCCCATCAAGATTTATAGATCCCTATGAGTTGGAATCAACTCAGTGATAATAGGTGTGGTTATTTGGTTTAAGGGTTAGCACAGACTGTTCACATGCAGCCCGGTTTAGGCTGATGTAATTAATCTTACTTAGTTGGTATCTCGGGGATCTCCTCAGACACTAGCCCTTGTCTCCTTTCATTGACCAATCTCTGGCCTCGAAGTGAGCTCAGTCTGTTCCCCCTGACCAAGAAGGAAGCAGTGGGTGAGAGAGGCAGGGAGCTCCTGGAAGTTACTGTGTGTATAAACACCATGGCCTGATTCTTCTCCCATCTTCATCTGCTAAAAGGAGTATAGAGGAGGCACTGCAGGAAGGAAAATACAGAGGAGACTGCCTGTTGGAGCTATAGCAGCGAAAATCAGGTAGGGTACACTCCGGTGAGAAGGGAGGAGGACCTCATGAAGGAAGAGCTCATAGAACAACTCCAGAGCGCCGGATCTACCATAAGATCCAGGAAATCAGATTCCAGCACTCGCAAGTGAAAAAAATCACGATATTAAGGAAAATACAGCAAGTTAGCAATATGGAGATGGACTCTCTCAGCGACTGCCCCACCCTAGCAGAGTTTAGAGGGCAGGGCTAAAGCCAGTCTGGCTCAGAAAACCATGCTAAAAGTGGTGCAGAGGCATCTGCAAAAAAAAAAAAAGAGAGAGAGAGAGACGTGGGAAACTACACATTTCTCCCTCTTTCTCTCCCTGTTTTTCTCCCTGTCCAACCTTAATTGCTCAGCCCGGACATCAGGCAGGACAGTTTTCCCACTCTACAGAGAGAGGGAGCTTGGTGGTGACTTATGACATCACCCGCAGAGCCACAGATTCAAAAGTTTCCCCAGCAGGACCCCTCACGTCAGTGCACCATGGAGTAGGTTCTGACTCCAGATAACACTGTGCAGGGTTTCCTGGGCTGTGGATCTGAGCGGGAGCAAAGCACCTTTCTCTCCTGGTGCAGCTGGTGGTTTCAAGCTGCTGCCCTTGCAGTCCGTGGCCGCTGCACTGCCCGAGCTCCCTGCACAGGACCAATTCAAAGCAATCTGTAAAACCACAGCATAACAGGACTCAACCATCCCGAGAATTGCGCTGTGCACACACAGATATCTAACTGACCTTCAGAGACGAAAACAGTGGACAATCTTTCTTCCATTAACTCCCCAATATCTATCTGCGCAACTCTACTGTATTGACTAGAGGAGGGGCCTAAGAGAGTGGACACCCCCACCCCCTGCTGGAGGCTTCTAATTGCACACACACTGACGGTGTAGCTCAGGACAGTCTACCACAGCTTCATTTCTGTTCTAAAGTGGTGATTTTTGTGTATGCATTTATATTACTTCTGCTTTTGGTCCTTTTGATCACACATCTTCCCTGGAGGTGGAAGCTTTTTCTCCTTACATTACCCAAGAAGAGACAGCAATTGTGGCCAGATAGCCAAGCTATAAACACACCCCATAATATTTCACCACTGAGACAAGAGCCAACAACACCCGCTAAACATTACATGCGAAAAAGGAAGCCTATTTCCTGATCATATTCACGAGACACCCAGTAAGCTTAACAACAAACAATAAACATTCACTTAAGCTTTAAAAATAAAACAAAACCACATAGCTATCATGATGAATAAAAAAATCAACAATCAATATCGAAACACGTTCAAAAACAGAAGCGAGTAGCTGAGACAAATGAACTGGAGACAGACAAAGGCTTTATAGAGGAGGAAGAACAGGTTTTGGATACGCCTGAGAAAGAATTTAGAAGCATGATATGGAAACAAATTCAACTGCTCCGAAAAGGAAGGGAAATACAATAGAGCAAGCGTTGTGTAGAGCTGGAGAGGGCAGCCATTGTGGAAGAAAACCTAGGGATGGTAACAGTTCAAATGATTATTTTTGTTTCATTTTACTTTTTTTTTTCTCATTAAAAAAAGATTTGCTCATTAGTGTTCCACTGGGTGGGGGAAAAAAATCATTTGCTGCTCCCCAGGAGCAGTGATCATCACAGCATTTCTTAAGATAATAAACTAAAGATGGGCCACAGTGTAGACACGACCATCTCCCTGGGAGAGTGCCAGGTGGTAACGTGCATCACTAATAGGTATAGCAGTAGATTTAGCACGTAGCTCCCGATGGAGACTGCCTGGGTCCAGACCTTCAGGACTCTTCTTTGTTGCTCTGAGTTCTGGGTGTGCATGTGCTCTACTCTTCTCTAGCTTTTCTCGAGTTGAATCCATCCATAGCTTCAAGGAACCTGACTGAAAAGAAAAAGCCTGTCCAGCAGGCCCTGTTAACAATTCATCTGTCATAGCATTGATGCTAAATATCTACTGCTGTGTATGCAACAGCTTCAAACAGTAAGCATTTATTAGCTCACAGTCTCTGTGGGTTGGGAATCCAGGGTCGCTTAGCTGGGGCTCAAGGCCTCATAAGCTTGTGGTGAGAGTGTTAACTAGGGCTGTCGTCTCATCTGAAAGCTTGACAGGAAGAGGATCCGCTTCCAAGCTGCCTCACATGGTTGTTGGCAGGATTCTGTTCCTATAGTTGGTGGACTGAGGACCTCCATTCCTATTGACTATGAGGCAGAGGCTTCATTCAGCTCCTCAGCACGTGGGCCCCTGCATAGAGCTGCTCACAGCATGGCAACTGGCTTCCCTCAGAGCTACCTAATCTCAGAATGATAGCCCAGCCACCCCACTGCATTCCACTCACCAGAAGTGAGTCACAGACTCTAGCCTACACTCAAGAGGAGTGAAGTATGAGTGTGAGGTCTGGCTACCACTAGACTTTCTGCTCCCGCAAAGATTTAAAGCCTCTGAAACCCTATGAGTTGGAACCAACTTGACAGCACTTAACAACAACA